GATCCAGATTGACGTGTATGATTGTTTGTTTCCTCGTGATTACTTATGATATCGCGTGAGATTCGCTTTTTTGAGCTGAAGGCAAAGTGATGAGAAGGAAAACTCGTATTGTAAAAGTATGAATGCAAATGTACCGTATATCGTTTATTAACGAAAGCAGAGAAACTGTGTTTAACTGTTATAACATGATGTGTTTAAAATCGCGTAACATCATAAAAATATTGCGGTAAAAGTACAAGAGTAAGTACGATACGCTAATGAGTTTAGTTGGCAGCGACTTTTAATACGCGAGCTTTTCAGGGAGCTCGCGTCCGTGGGCAATTCGGCATAACAGAAGTCATAATAACCGTAATAATAACCGTGCCGCTTTATTATTCGACACGCGTAAGTACAACCTAGAGCAGTCGTATATAAAGCGCGGTCTTAAATTTGCTCTTAATATTACGTCACATTGCGGCGAGATTATTTAAATTGAAATTCTGTTTAAGTAACAATTACTTGAGAAATGCCAGGAGAAACTAAAGTTTCTATGCGCGCAAAATTTCATCCGCGAGCAGCTTTCGAATTTTCAGTTTCGCATAATTCAGAAAACCCTGTTATAAGTATTTCGATGTATTTCTTCTCGAAAGAGAATTTATAGTCACGCTGTGTACATCGCGTACATTTTATATATTACGAGGCGCGCTCTAAAAAGAGGAAACGAATGGGGAAAAGCCCTCTGAGATACCACCGGCGGAATATATTCATACCCCATGGGACGACGCGAGCATTATCCCGCGGGGAACAATGGAAACATAGCGGAATTAATTATAGTATAGAGCTTAATGAACGCTTATTATCGCTCCCTTTTTGAGACGGAGCTTGGTTATCGCGCGGAAATGTCGTTGTCGCGACAGGAAGAAGGAAGTCGCAATCGCCTGAGACACGGTATTTCTGAATATCAACACAATTCCCCCGCAAATCAAATTTGTCGAGTGATACGCTTCCAGACTTGAGAATAAAAATTCTATCTGGACGCGGATGATTTTCATGCATCTCTGCGTATGAAGTCTCGATGAATTTTAATAATGTATAACGTGTAGCCATATAAATAAGTAATAAATTTATACAATATTTATAACGCGAGAAATGTCACACGCAGAAAAATCAAATAAGGTGAAAACTCAATGCGAAAAATTATGAATTTATGGGAACGACGTACAACTTTTTTCATACACGGAAAAAAAGGACGTACTTGTTTTGAAAATATATATTTAATTTTAACATGGAAATCTTGAAATGAGATTATATTGCGTTAATTAAAAAAAATATAATTGCTTACTGCGAATAATTGTTTACTTGAACAACGCCATTTTATATAGTTCAAGCAAGAAAAATATATTCTTATGATTTAAGATTTAATTCTTGAACGGGAAAGAAACAATATTAGATAGAAAATAACATTTTTAAATCAAAGATTATAATTTTCTTAAAGTAGAATTAAATAATTATATATTCTTGAGGTGACAATTACAATATTAAATATAATAAGACTATAATATAATAATAATATTAAATATAATAATAAGACTATAATATTGTTAAAATTAAAAATTATTAAATTCTTCTAAGAAGATTATAAATTGTTGCGTATACACGAAATAATGAACGCGTTAATTTAAGTATATAAGTTTTAATTTGACACTTATTTTTGCTGTATACTTATTGAGAAATACATTAGCCGATATTGCTATATCTCTTTTAATCGATATCTAAAATGCATATATGTTACTTTGAGCATTATTGTGTGCATTAATTAGAAGCTTCCCTCGGGTCATCTAGCACGCGTTTCCTGAACGCGCAGGATAACTTCGATTTCGCGACGAAGAGGCCAGGAGGTGGGGGAGGAGAGGGAAACTCTTGTTCATTTCCTGGTTATTGTTTAATGAATGTGTAGTCCGGGAAATTAATGCGATTTCAGCGCATTGTGCTCGAGAAATTAACGCGATTGTAGATAATACGCGTCTCTACGCTATAACGCGCGTGTAGGATTATCCGTTTGTTTCTTTTCGTACTTCCGGCAGTTATGTTTACTCATATAATCTGCATTTATAATAAATTATTTTATGCTTCAGTAAAGCTTGTCTCGTAAAATACGTAAATCCATGTCAGTCGCGCATTAAGAACAGTATGAGAACAAACATTTGCAGTTGTTGTAACGTTGCAGGTAAATGCACGCTAAGCTCCATCAGCATTTTGCGTCACGCAGAAATGCGAGTTCGGACTATGACGTAAATAATAAGTTTTATATGTAAACATCTTCATTTTGTAAGCGTCAAATTTTCGTTCATGAATTCATTTTTTAAACATTTTTCATTCTTACGACAATTTGACACCCAAAATTCAAGTGAAATTTTTATCGAAATATACCTTGTTCGAAATTAGATATAGAAATTTTATAAAATGTCATCTCTATTTAGCTTTGAAAACTAAATAAGCTTTTAATTTTCAATATTTTACGTTTATTTATAGATATAATTCGTAAAAATGGCGACTATGAAAGGCTTAAATATCAATATATTTAAAATATGAGCTTAGATCTATAAATTTCATTTTTTTAAATTTATATTATGTTTTTTCCTGAATATGCACACACATGTTCGATTGGTAGCGTTGTTATACATTTTTTTTTACAAGTCGCGCATCTACCGCGAGATTTGGATTTCCCATCGTATGCGTCGTGCTACTTTGACACATATAAAATATTATAATATTTATCATAATAAAGTTGTAATCACATTTAAATAAAACTTTAAGTTTATAATTAGCGCATAAGTTCTACGATTTTTCGATTAATATACAGTTAATCTTCATTCTCTAAAAGTTTGATTTTTTGTAAAGTTTAAATAATTATATTTTATTGTAAACACTACATTTCAAAGTGCGCAATTTTGTTACACGTAGCTTGGACCCTCTTCTTTAAAACAAGCCGAGGTAAAAGTCGATAGGATTATTTATTTAAAAGTTATGATTTTTTTCGTAGGTGGGACATATATGTTCCAGAGGTACGAGAGGGTTAAGGTACTATTGTACACCTGGCGCTGACTATATCATGCAAATACATGTCTGCGGATTATTAATGTAGAGCTCTAAGCGAGCAAATAAGCTGCATCTAATTACTATTACCGTTCTAGTTAACTATCAATGTCAACGATCACGGCTTTCGACAAGATGTACACGCAATGTACAGACGTATCTTTGATTGGATAGATATCCGTGTAGACAACTAGAACATAGACAGCTGTCTGCGAACTAGATAGACAGATGGTTCATCTAGAATAACTGTTGATTAGGGAACGGATATCCGTTAATATCGTGCAGCGTCGATAGTACACATCGTTGTTTATGTAATAATACTGTCCGTTGCATGCCTTTGAAAGCAAGATAAAAACGTCATTTAGACAAAGATTTTCAGTTTTACAGCTTCACGCTCAATCAAATTCTCTTTCTCTCTCTTTTTCAAGCTATATCTGTAAAAATAACATCTGAAACTAATAGTGTAAAATTTCAAGAAATTATATTTTACTGGAATATAATACACAATGCTAGAAGAAAAAAGTGTTGTTTTAAAAAGTAATAAATTTTTCGTTACAAAAATTGTTAGAGGATAATATCTAATTATTGTACGTACATGATAGTTAGATTAGAGCGCAAATTCAGAGGGGATCTATTTCGAATAAGCAGGAGAGAACGAAACTTACATCGAATATATAATCAGGATCGCTGAATTGTGGAAGCTAGTTTATTGTTGCTCCTCCGGTTTACAGTCGCCATTCGCAACTACTCTCTCGCGACGGACAATCCTCTATAGTTTCCGTCCGATAGTTTACCAGCTTCCTTACATCCCCGGACGACAAGAGTGTACCTTGCTAATTAATCAGCAGTAAATTAGCGCGTAAATAACGCCCATTAGAGTGACGTGTTGCGATGCCTTCGGTACGTGAGCCACGAGCGCGCCTTTATCCCGGAAGTGCGCCCTTTCGCATCTCCTTTTGTCATAATTAGCCGTAACAGTCGGCAGCGGTGAGCCACAGGTAGATAGGATAGGTAGCGGTCTCTTGAGGGAGACGTGGAGTGCCTGCCTTTGCCTGTCGTGCCGTTGTTTCGGCCGAATGAGGCCCGTCCACCTTCGTGATTGACAGCGACATCCACGACGCAGCCCTCGGGACGTGCCACTCGAATTACCCTCGCTGTCAACTGGCTCATTGGCGGAGAAGTAATGAATAATTGGCAGGCGTCGTCATCCTGCCAACTCCGATAGGTCCCGCTTTCCGATCCTTTTCAGCCTCAGGTCCGATGTTACAGTCTTGTCAGGCTTGTCGAACGTGTTAATTGACATTTGATAGAAATTCGAGGAGCTTCACAAATAGATTTATAGGCTTCTTCAATCGACTTTCGCTTATTGAACGAGATAATATTTTGTGTCTTTAATATTTGTGATAAAAGTGAACAATTTCGAAACGTTTTCTCAAGTATACGCGATTAAATCATTTGGAATGGATATAGTAGGGTGTATGAAATATATTTTAATATATACATGAAATCATATTTTAATCTATTTTTAAAAAATATGCAAATTGTATGTGTATAATTATATAATTATATAAAAATAAAATTATATATTAAATATACATATGCATTTTTTTCAGATTTTTTTCGAGAATAAAATATTTTTTTGTTTAAATATATCGCGATTAAAGAAATTTTATTTAGTAAAATTTCAATCTATTTTTTTACACACAAAGGATTATAATATATTACACTATTAAATATTATAATCCTTTACGACATCTTAAAGTTTCTATGCCATTCATTTTATGTATTAGGTTTATTATAATTTTATATTTATTTTTTAGAAATTTAATTAAATCTTGAATATTAAAAGCTTTGCGCTTTTTAATACAGCATCTCGCCTTTTTTTATTATACTTTTCTAACTATAGTTTTGCTTCATATGCGCAGGAAAACCAAGACCGCAGGTCTCTTGGTATCTGGAATCGCAGAACATTCATGCATCCACTGAAATTCGAGAGACGCAAGGTCCTAACGGAGAGATCAACGTCGTAACCATCAGCAACGTGACTTTGAAGGCTCTCACAAGGCGACATCATCACGCCAAACTGTCCTGTCGAGCGAATAACACTCAATTAGCGCCGCCACCCACCACCACCATCGTCATAGAGCTTAACAGTGAGTACACTCATTCCAATTAACGTTAATTGCGCGCGACTACGTTGACTTAATTTCGCGGAAATGAATTCTTTCTCAACAAAGGCGAGCCTACTCAGGCGACAGAATCTTCTGCATTTGCGAGAACGAGAAAACGTAAGCGAAAGCGCCAGCGAAAAGGAATATCAAATTAATTAAGACGAATATTAATCCCTTTGGGCCATCATCCGTGCAGTTTTCTTCACTTTTCAAGTCCACGAAAATACTTGAATTACCATTGTAATGTGTATTGAAGTTTCATTCCAATGCGGTTTAGACGGTACAAAGGGGAATTGCGGTTCCCGCACGTCAGAGAGGTCTTTATTCGTCCGTAAAATAACGACTGTTCGAATTACTCGCTCGCACGTTCGGCTATTACGCAAGTACGAGAAAAAAAATAGCGGGGATTTTCCCCGGGAATGTTTCAAATTTCCCGAATACCCGCGGAACAAGATAGCCGCGTTATGAATATGCAAAAAGCCCGTCAATATCGGCGCGATACTTCGATCGATTCCTGCTTCTCTCCTCCTTCCCTTTCTTCTCTCTTACTCATCCTCCTGCTCGTCCTTTCCTGCTCGTTCCATATATTGGTATCAATATTTTTTTGCGACAAAAAGAATATAGCGAATATTTAACCGGTTCGAGATCCGATTTGTCTGGCCCCCGGATCTCTCGTTTTTTTTTTCCGACCCGCCCGTAAATGAAAGCGGACTTTGGACGAGACGAAATTGAAACATTTTTCACCGATTACAATGGGGTGGCAGTGGGAGAGAGGGAGGAGAGAAGCTCCAGGAGAAAGAGGGACCGGGGTTTCGTCGAAAAGCAATCAACCCCACGATGTCATTAATAACGTCACTTCCGGAATCGCTTCGAAATGCGACGGACGCATGGCGCAGGCAACATGCCGCGAACGCGGCAACGTTCGATTAATCTCCATGAAAAACAGAGGTAGAAAGGAAATATACGTATACTTTCCGTCCCCGTAATCCGGAAACAACGATGGCGACACGGGGAAAATTGCGGTTCGAGCGATTTCCCTCGGCAAAGTGAATCCGTAACGATGAATAATTCGTTTGTAATTCTTTGGAAGAATAATATGTCATAATGAAGGTTCGTCGCTCGCAAAATTATAACATATCGTCGTAATTACAAGTATAAGTTGGTATAAATTGCTCTCAGCGAGCAATTTGCCTACTTTGAGCTTTATGTGTGCATTTATGCGTTTTTTTACATCGAGAATCAGAGCTCTTTTGCGCTAAGGATGTATCAGCAATGTTGATTACTTATTTTTATGGGTGATCGATTAATATATTTTGCGTTTCCTCATATTTTTTGATAATGGATATTACTAAGGTTGCTTTGGTAACATCGAAAATTAAAAAAATTATGAAACAAGATAATGATCTGGCGCAATTATTGGAAAAATATTTGAGCATTCGACAATGCAACGAGCTCGTATGAGAGTATCTGATAACCTGGCTTATCAGATTTCCCCGGAATTCTAGCGTGTTTTGCAAAAATGGATTTCAAAAAACTGAGCGACGCACGAAATGAAAAAAAAACCCTTCAATTTTTTCATCGGCTAATTGTGGCCATCCATGGTTCGTCAAAGAACAACTGGCGACCATTTTAATTGATCGGCGCGATTGATCGTTCTGTTGGATTTGACGACTGGAAACGGACGCCGCTCAAACGCAAACAGATTGCAGCCATTCATACGTGATATCATACTCGTCCAAAAATTGAAAACCGCCAAGCTGGTTGAATTACTTATTGCTTGCCATGCGCGCGCGCATGTGCGTATGCGAAAAAAATTTGAAATATGATCTTTCGCATCTATCCAGTGTCCCAGAAGCCATCTACAATTTTAATTAATGCAATATTTTAACAGCCCCTCTTGTGCCAAAATTCTCTCTCTTTCTCCCTCTCTTTCAAATTAAAATTTAATTACAAAATCATTCAATATGCTGATAAATTAAATTCCAACCTAATTGACGCGTATTAACCTTATTTATATAATGAGAATCTATTTGTTACAAGTAACGTATAATGGATTATAATTGTGATATAATAATATTGCGAATAATTTATGACGCGATAATTGTCAAAGAGCACAATTCATTTTCCGCTCTATATTATGTATTTCATTTCTCGCGAATAGAGAACAGCTGCTCTATATCTCTCTAGATATTTTTAAATCTCGAACGTCTCTCTTCTTTCATGTCTTCCTCCTCGATGGCCGGGATGGAAAATTAATATTCATAATTGTATAAGCGGCGTGGCGGCTCATCGGCACGCTCGAGATTCATCTGACAAGAAACTTGTGCCAGACAAACAAGTTTAAATTAAATCGCGGGAAGCTGCCTCGAGCCGGAAGATGCAAGCAGGAGTCCGGTTGCCGTAGATTGCCGTTCAGGCTACTTGCGCGTCATGTTAAAAAGCTTGAGAGCGCAAACGAAAGGGACGTATCGATCGTGAATTTAGAACGCGACGTTCGATTACCTTAAACGAGATACTTTCACACATCTTCCACGAGAAAAATCGATTGATTGTGCAACAAGACGTATCTGATAGAAGCCATTTTAGTTAAACAAAATGTCTAGTTATCATAAGACTCGATTTTTTATAACTAGAATATTTAAGAGATTTAGATTTTAATTTAGATTTAGATTTTAAGAGATTTAGATTTTACAATAAGGATTTGGTTAGTATTTTCTAATTGGATCTACAAAATTTCTTGTTATATTAACTGGACACAATGATCTATTTTTTTTTAATTTGATATTATCAAGAAAATTTGATAAACAGGAAGAAATTAATCATACTCATCTAATTCCTAAAGGAATTCTGATTTGTCCATTTTCCAACAGACATACTGATTGAATCTAGATTTCTAATTAATGCAACTCGATTTTTTTCTCAGTACAGTTAAAAGTAAAAAAATTTTGAGACATTCTCTCGTTTTATTTATTTATTTATTTTTGTTTTAAATTAATGTTATCCAAATAAATATTAATGTATGTCATTGATAACATCTTGTTCTAATATTAAAATTGTGTGACAATTAGGTTGGACAATTATTTTAATTAAAGCATTCTATAATTAAAATTAATTATTAAAATTAAAATAATTATTTGAAGTAAAATACAAGGATTAATTTTTTCAGTTGATTCTGAATAATTGATTTTTAATTATAACTGATAAATAATTACACGATGCAGAACAATTGAAAATGATAACAACTTTTTTCAAATATCATTTGACCGAACATCTTTTCGGTATCTTAAAATTCATTGGCAGTGGCCATTATAATACTTCTCGAATATCAAGAAAGCGCAAAAAAATCTCAAATATTCAAACGGAAAATATACATAATGTTACTTGTCGTCTTCAATGTTGAAAAATCATTAACTCGTCGTAATAAGATCGAGTTATAAGCAAACGAACAAATATCAACATCACGCTTCGAAAACGGATTTCGTCTGGCGTAGCTCGGGTCAATATTGAAGTACGATTGCTTCGTTTTTCCTCGCTCAAGTATCGTACATTGCATCGAAATTCATTCTGCAACTTGTCGCTTCTCGATTCCACGTTAATTGGAGATGCGCGCGAGAATTCGCTGTCTGCATAATCACGTCGGACCGATATTTCGTCGCAATCGTACGATCGCACGAGAGCTTAACGAGTCATTGAAGGGTCTTCGGGAGTTGATCGACTTGCGAAAACGATTTCCGCGGTCGACAACGAGGTCAACATATACTCCAATGTCGGGGAATGGATTGCCGAACACTCGAAACCAGGCGCTATGTGTGCTCCATTAATTTTTCATGCCCTCGCCGAGGTAAAACCTTCGATGCATGAATTCGTCGTCGTTAATCGTTATCCGATAGACGCTCCGTGTAATGGAAATGACGAAATTGGAGGGGAACGCGATACGTATAGCGCTCATATAGTATGCAGGATTCGTAACGAAGGGAAATTTATTTTTAGAAATGAGAATTGTATAAGACATGTAATAATATTGCCATTCCGTCTCGACAGATACTTTGATGAGTAATTTATAATATAAGGGATAATCAAATTATATGAACTACTTAATTGATAAAAAAAAAAAATATATATATATATATGGGTCATTCCACGTCAAATCAGCCATCCCCCGTCCAAAATTGTATTGAAGTAAATTTAATTTCTAAGGTATCAAAATTTAGCTTGAAACATCTAGTTTTTTATGCTGTCTGGCGATTTTGAAAAATGTCAAATAATGACCTTGGTTTTGTCAGTTAAATAAAAAATGGTACCTATTTTCGTGTTCAAATCTTTATTACTTTTTTACAGATGAAGTACAAAAGTCATTTTTAATGTAATTTGATCCGCTGAATCCAAATCTGAAGTCAGAAAAACAAAATTTAATTTTTTTTATTTTTTTCCAATTTTGGGCGGGGACGGGGGTGGCTGATTTGACGTGGAATGACCCATACATATATATTTTTTTTCTTACGAATATTAATTATAAATTTCTCGCTGTCAGTTATTTAATGCCAAGTTAACACCATTTCACATATTTATGAGACGTTATCGATTATGGATTCGATTTATGCAGTTCCACGTTACTTTCGAGCAAGAGACGGGACACGAAAGAGCGGAGAATATTGAGTTCTTAGCAGAACTAGCCGCGTTGAAGGAAAATATTGTATATTTTTCCATATAATATCTTGAAGTGGCATACCGTTATGAATTTTTATTATTTTTAAGAGGGCGCAATGCGCTCTCTTCTATCATGTCGTCGCTCATCGTTTATCTTATGATATATTTCCCTGCAGAAATCTCGTGGCAGAATGTCTTAGTGTCGTCTCTGATTCGCCAACCATCGTGAAATCGATCGGGATAATGTACGAGACTGAAAATCGAAACGCGCTGTGATGTTAATAAATAAAAAATCCATTTAGCGAAAATTAAACAATTTATTATAATGCCATTCG